AAAGGGTCGTTCGACCCCCAAAGGGGTCACGACCCACAGGTTGAGAACTGCTGGGTTAAAGTGTAAAATGTTTGCACCTAGCTATAAAGCAAGCCGTGTTCCTGGGCTGGAGAAACTGCAAGGAGGCTAGTCGCTAGGGAGAGGAAGCCGGACGTTGCTATGTGACGTCATTACCTGGCACCCACAGCAACTGTTTCCGGGCTGTGCTGTGGGCCGCATTTTGTACCATGGGGTCTTGGCAGCATAGGCTGCAATTTGGTGGGGTGTCGCTCCAGGGTGGTGGTGGGGCCTGTGTCCCACTTGGGGGAAGCCAAGTGTTGCTTTGTGGGCACCAGGTTCCAGGTTCCACCAGTGCCATTTCTTTGTAAATGACCAGTGCACATCACGGCAGCTCCTGCATTGAACGTCTGTCCCCTGGTGATCAGTGAGTGTCATAGCAACTGGTTGGACGGTCAGAGGGACACTTAGCATATTAGCCTTTTATATATACAGATTACTCAAATTTTGGTTGTTGAGTTCTTGGCCCAAGAAAAGAAAAAAAGTTCCTAATAGCCAAAAAAAATATGAGGAACAGGGCTGGATTCTAATTTATGCCACCTGGTAGGAACAGTACAGATGAGAGATGCAATTTTACCTACAAAGTAAAAGGCCAAACAAAGGATTATGCAGAAGTGAGATAACATTACGCACACCCCCACTGACCCAACCATGCATCCCCAAATTAAACAGTCCATGTCCTATATTACTATCATACAAGCCCCCGAATTTTAATATTTATATATTGAGGATAATAACTCATCCCAATTATGTTAATTAGCCTATATTTCCCTTTTACAGGTTATTGGACAGCATTTGATTTTGACAGACAGCACTTGTTATACCCTACCCCCATACACAATGCATGCCAAAAAGAAACAAACAAAAAAAACAAAGACCCCCCCCCCCCACATACGCCCAGACACACTATGATTTTTTACTGTAATTCATTTTAATGAGACACAGCCATTACGTTTGCAAATAAAAAGTCTGACAGCCTGGCCAGTTGGTTGGACATCATCCTGTGCACCAGGAGGTTGCCGGGTTCGATTCCCAGTCAAGGGCACATGCCTGGCCTGAGGGCTCTATTCCCAAGTAGTGGGCTTGCAGGAAGCAGCTGGTCCACACTGCGCTCTCACATTGATGTTCTCCCCTGCCTCCCCTGCACCTGTCCTCTTCTTCCTCTTCCCCCCATCACTTTCTCTCTCTAAAAATCAATAAACTATTCTTTAAAAAATAAAATGTCTGACATAACTTTACCACCAGCATCCTTATATCCACTAACATTTATTACACACTAGGTATCACGTGTCATACATTAATGATTTTCCAACATTTCTCTGAAGTAAATAAGCATTCTCCAGTTTTAATTTTTTTTTTAAAGGGGAAGAATGAGATGGAGGAAATTGCCTAAGGCTACTGATCTATTTAAGTAGTGGAGTGAGAAAGGAATCCACCTCTTCAGACTTGAAATATGGTACATTTTCCACTTTCATATCACCAGGAAAACCCAAGTTTTTAATCCAACACTTACTTGCAAACAGACATTCACAAACCCAACACATATGCACAAACCTGAGAAAAGCTTTCATAAAGTACAGAAGTTGGGCTTTATTGTTTTTTAAAACTTTAATTGCAAAGAGCACTCTTAGACTCTGGCAAGCATCAGCATATTTTACTGTGATTCGAGACAGAAATTATTGAAAACTTGAATCACTGGTAGAGTATATGAGATGAGTCAGTTGAAAACCTCAATTAACACTAATGCTTAGGGAATATAGGATCTGATTATGTTTACCTTAGTTAACTATTTTCTTATCAGAAAATACTAAACTTCAACCCTTAAATTCTACAAAATTCTAAAATACAGAGATACACTGTATAGTTTTAGGAAATAAAATATATAATTTAGCTTTCCCTATATCATATCTGTATGTTCCTTAAAACCATAACTGTTAACATCAATGAATACAAGAAATAGAGATGGCAGTGAACTATATGCATTTCTAAAATGAAACCTGATGTTTTATTTTCTTCCTTTTTTCTAAAATGAAAGAGAAAACAAGTAACAGATCTTTCTTACATCTCTAAGCTTAAAATAATACTTTCAATGTGTTCTCATTTAATCCCACCGCCATAACTCTAAAATTTTTTTAGAATCCAAGAGGCCAAGGTAAAGAGTAAAGAACTTGCCAAGGTCATGTGTAAGGGGTCCAGCCAGACCCCAACCCTGGCCTTTTGACTCATATTCTAAGGAACTAGCTTCTCCTGCCCCATTTTACCAAATAAAACAACACCATACATAAATATTTAGTATGCATCCAAATGTACAACTGTGTATATTTACTTAATGACCTAAAATTAAGGAGTCTAAAAGGCTAGTTAGGTTTCATTAAAAGTTAACCAAGATTTTACTTGATACACTGTATACTTACTTCTCCCTCGGTGTTCCTTTTCAATGAAATTTCAATAGGTTGTGTTTGTGTGTATGTGTGTGTGTATGTGTGTGTGTGTTTCAATCCTTACCCGAGGATATTTTTCCACTAATTTTTAGAGAGTGGAAGAGAGAGGGAAAGACAGAGAAACATCAATGTGAGAGAAACACATCGATTGGTTGGTTGCCTCCTGCACGAGCTCAGACCAGGGCCTGAGCCAGGGAGGAGCCTGCAACCAAGGTACATACGCCCTTGACCAGAATCGAACCTAGGACCCTTCAGTCTGCAGACCAATGCTCTATCCACTAAGCCAAACCGGCTAGGGCTCAACCGTTTTTATATTTAAAAAATAATCTGGAAAAATGTTCCCGGTAAGTTTTTATTAAACTAAAACAGAAACCATTAATCGCATAAAAGGAGACCTGAATAAGTGGAGAAATATACCACAATCATGCTTAGGAAAATTATCCTAAAGATGTTAATTCTCCTACAAATTCATCCACAATTTTAATGCAATTCCAATTGAAATTTCAATAGGATTTTTCATAGAACTGGAGGTGCTGATCATAAATTCCTAAGGAAGAGTTAAGAATGAAGGAAAGCCAAAATAACTTGTAAGTATAAGAAGAAGGTGTGTACCCTGCTGGAAGATTGACAAGGTTCAGCAATTAAAACATGGTACTGAGACAGAGCAAAAGGCCAACAGAACAGGGGACCCAGAATCAACCTAGCATATATGGAGATGTAACTTGAGAGGGTGGTACTACACCTAAGGGCTGAGTTCTAGGTAATGGTGCTGAGACCACTTCTACTGCCATGGCGGAGGAGTTATTAGATTCCCCACCTCACACACATACAAAAATCAATGCCTCAATGTAAGTTGTATTACATGCTAAAGTATAAACAAAAACCTTAAGACTTTTAGAAGAAAACAAATGTCTTTATTAACTTAAGGAAAAAATTTCTTTAAAGGTATTTATTTGAAAACTTAAAATCTACAAACCATGAGGAAAAAAGTCAATATATTAGACATTAAAGTGAAAAGTGTACTCTCTACCCAGAAAAAAAGTGAATCATATATGAAGTTTAAAAGCCCTCATGCTAAGAGAGAGACCTGTAACATGCAGAACCAAGATTATTAACCCTGTAAGTCAATAAGAAAAAGAAAAACACTTGATAAAAAATACAGACAAGAGATAGAGGTCGTGTAATTCACAGAAGTGGAAATGTATCACCACAGACATGAAAATAATAAAATAGTGCTCAACTATTTGTAATCTGGGAAATGCAAATTAAAACAATGACAATCTATTTATAATTCATCAAATTAAAATACATTAACAAATCTTAAGTATGCCTATACTGAGAATTAGGCAAGATTTTTTTGCTTTTAAATGAGATAGAGAATAATCTCATGCACTGCTGATGTTAAAACCACTGAGAGCCCTGGCCAGCATGCTCACTGGTTAGTGTCAGCCCGTGCACCCGGAGAGTCACAGGTTCAATTCCTGGTCAAGGCCACATACCTGGGTTTCAGGTTCATCCCCAGCCTCAGTCGGAGCCCATGTGACAAGCAACCATCGATGTATCTCTCTCACATTGATGTTTCTCTCTCTCTACCCTACCCTGCTGCCTTCCACTCTCTGAAAATCAATGGGGGAAAAAAGATCCTCAAGTGAGGATTTTAAAAAAAACACATAAAAACCACTTAGCAGATAAGCAGTCCCTAGTAAAACTAAAGATGTTTATCACTTGCCCAACCCAGCAATGTCATTCCTAGAATATATCCTGGAGTAACCCAGAGGAGCATGAGAAGACATTTCAAATATGCTTATTGCAACATTTTTGTAATAGTGGGAAGAGCTAAAGACCTAAATGGTCCTCAACAAGAACTGTGATGTGTTCAATTAATGGTATTTAGCAATTAAAATCAAAGAACAAAAACAAAATGCATCAGCATAGATAAATCTAAAGAACACTGGCTTAAAAATAAATTATAAAATGATGAATATCGTATGAGACATTTATGTGATATTTCATATAAAACAATACAGTACACTATCTTTTGATAATACGCACATGTTGTAAATGATAAAAACCATCAGAAAACAATACTTACCAATTTTAGCAGAGTTGTTATTTCTGGGAATGGAGGAATAAGATGAAAGAGGGGTATAATGGAAGTTGCAACCGTATCTGTAATGTTTTGCTATTTATAAATATAGTTAAATGTTAATGCAGGGTGTCCCAAAATAATGGATACACACTTTAACACCTGATTCTATTACATTTTTTTAAAAATATATTTTATTGATTTTTTACAGAGAGGAAGGGAGAGAGATAGAGAGTTAGAAACATTGATGATGAGAGAAACATCGATCAGCTGCCTCCTGCACATCTCCTACTGGGGATGTGCCCGCAACCCAGGTACATGCCCTTGACCGGAATCGAACCTGGGTCCTTTCAGTCCGTAGGCCGACGCTCTATCCACTGAGCCAAACCGGTTTTGGCTCTATTACATTTTTAAAATGAAATTTATTTTAATAAACACTGCCTTTATAATTATTCAAAGTGTTTATCCATTTTTCTGGTTGGTGGGTTCAGGCATTTCTCATATTAGTTTCTGCACTTTTCTGTACCCTGGAATTCCTTATCAAAAAGCATAAATTAAAAAAGCAAAACTAAAACATAACCATTAACTACATCTACACATATACTCAATAAAACAAAGTTTTGTCTTACCTCAACTGAAGAGCGAGGAGTCACAAAGAATTGATTGAATTCATCAGGGCTAAAATCTCCAAAAATATACTGAAGGAAAAGAGAGAAAGAGAGAGAGCGTCATTGATCACATAAACTATACAAATTACATACTTTCAGAAAAAACCACCATATATTAAAACAATTCTATGATGTATTCAGGCTAGAATGCCCAAGATCCTTCCTTCATTAAATCAAAGGTCCATAAAGTAAGATTTCTAGGTGTCCTATTTTCCAATTACAAACAAGAAAATACTACTTAGCCTTTTCTACAAAACCGTCAAAGAAAACTCTGAAATTGTTAAACCTCATTTTGAAACAGGTCAGTTTTGTACACCAAACTCCTAAGCAGAGTCCTGCTTGCAGGACAATTTTTTGATTCACAAACATTTCCAGTTGTTCCATTTACCTTTCTGCTGACTCATGTTACTACTTCCATTTCAGTTTTTTCTGCCATACATACTAAAGAAAAGCAGAAAATATGGCTCAAATGGGAAGATAGGAAAATCCAAAAAAGGAAAATACTAATGATCTTAATGATTTTAAAAAATATGTATGCAATTTTTATCTTTAAAAATCCACTGACACCTGATGCACAGATAAACATATTACTTGACAGACACAAACCTAGTTGTGTACCCTCACTACACAGAATTCTAAACGTGACTTTCTGCGGGTGAAAAAAATGGTTTAAAAAGAAGAAAAAAGAAACACACACACACACACAAAGAAAAAAAATGGTTAAACTGCATGGAAGCAAGTTTAACAAGTGTGTAGCAATTCATATTCTCCCTGGAGCTCTAAGAAATAAGTTATGACAAGAATAAATGTGACTAGATTTCTACAAAAGATAATCACTCACTGATTACTCATTCATTTAATTGGAACCTAACACCTACTAAATGCTATGCACCATGATCATCAGTACTAGGAATAAAAATGATAAAACAGAGTTGTGGTTCCTCTGCTATAATAAAGCTGACGGTCTAGTAACTTGCAGGGAAATTTACAGGCATGTGATTCAAAAATAACCAGTAACTAAGTATTATATGAATAGATATTACCCATTATTGTTGTAAATGTGAATAAATAAATGTGAATAAATAACTCTCACAGACTGTTGGTAAGAATGCATTGATATTCTAGGGGGAAACATTTCTGGTTGGCTCTCTTGCAGTAGCTACCAAAACTGTAAACATATATTTAAAAAAACAAAAACATCTTGACATAATAATTTACACATACATACAAAAGTCCACAAAGAAACTATGCATTGAAAGTGATGCTCTTCCTTTCTAACCTGGACCCAGCAGGATAGCTCCCACAAAGGGTGGTGAGAAGAAGGGCCATTCTGCCATCAATGAGGTAGTGACCAGAGAATACACCACCAACATTCACAAGCACATCCAGGGCAAGAAACATGACCTTTGGTCACTCAAACGATCCAGAAATTTGCCATGAAAACTGTCAAGGGAAACCTTTATCTCTTTATTTATGTAAGCGTGAAACATTCTCCTTCCTTTAGAGAATTTTTTAAAGTTGATTTTTAGGGGGAAATATTGTTTGGGTAAAAAAAAAAAAAAGATGAAAATGATTCTGTGTCTGATTTTACAGGATTTATGCCAGATGTCACAAAGCCCTTCCACCTCTACATGAGTGAGGTTAAAGAGCATTGCCAAAGGGGTTCTCACCCAGACTCTAGGTCCCTGGAAGAGACCTGTGGCCTATCTAAGAGACTAGACCCCATGGCTGCAGGGTGGCCAGCGTGCCTCTGGGCAGTGGCTGCCACAGCATTGCTGGTAAAGGAGGCAGATAAGCTGACTTTGGGCCAGGAACTAGCCCTGACAACACCCCATGCTGTGGAAGCCCTCCTTTGAGGTGCTCCGAAGCAATGGATGTCAAACGCCAGGGTCACCCAGTACCAAGCTCTTCTCCTGGACCAGCCTCGCATCCGATTCCATAGGACACTGGCCATCAACCCTGCCAGCCCGTTCCCAGATGATGATCCAGAGGAGCCCATCCATGACTGCATAGAGGTAACAGACGCAGTACAAATGGCTCGCCCAGACTTGACAGATGTCCCGCTATCATCACCAGACAAGGTACTGTTATGTACAAGATGGGAGCAGTTATGTTCAGGATGAAATCTGGTATACAGTGGGCGGTGGGAGTCACCCTAGACCGCCCAAGGAAACCAAGTTGCAGACCAAGCTGCCAAGGAAGCTGCCCAAAAACCAGTGGGGCCTTTACAAGAGGAGGAATTGGCAGAACAGAAGCAAGCCACCAGAGGACCAAATGGTTGGTGGACTCTACCAGATGGCAGACCGTTGGTCCCAGAGGCTCTAGGTCGGACGTTAGTTGTCCAGTTACACCAGACTACCCACATAGGCGTCACCAAGACTTTTAACTTTTGTTAGGCAGGTCACAGGTAAATGCAAGGTAACGGGTCCCCCTGGGAATTCAGGCCCATGGAAACTCCCCAGGAGAGCATCGGGAGGTATAAGTATAGACCAGCCGTGGGCAAACTACGGCCCGCGGGCCAGATCCGGCCCATTTGAAAGGAATAAAACTAAAAAAAAAAAAAAGACCGTACCCTTTTATGTAATGATGTTTACTTTGAATGTATATTAGTTCACACAAACTCCATCCATGCTTTTGTTCCAGCCCTCCGGTCCAGTTTAAGAACCCATTGTGGCCCTTGAGTCTAAAAGTTTGCCCACATCTGGTATAGACTCCTTCTTGGGATAGGTTGAAGCCTATCCCATCAGGACAGAAACTGCCTCTATAATGGTCAAGAAATTACTCCAGGAGATTATACCTAGATTTGGGCTACCAGCAGTCATAGAACCCAAGGTATCTCAACGTACAGCTCAAGTCTCAGGCATAAATTGGAAACTCCATTGTGCATACCGGCCACAAATTCAGGGCAGGTATGAACAGGACTCTAAAAGAACTTTAATTAAATTTACCCCAGAAACTGGTGAAAACTGGACCAACCTCCTGCCCTTTGCCTACTTACAGGCCAGGTGTACCCCCAACTGGGAGGGGTTCTCTCCTTTTGAAATCATGTTTGGTAAACCTACCCCTATCCTACCCAAAGTTAGGGAAGGAATTAAAAGCTAAAAGTCATAACCATTCCTTGCTCAAGTCCTTACAGGCTCTGCAGTATACCCAGAGAGCCACCCATAAGCTTGTTCGAGATGCCCTGCCAGTGCCCACCTCGGACCCTGTATATCCCTTTCCAGCCTGGGGACTCGGTGTGGGTAAAGAAGTTCATGACCCAAGGACTCACCCCAACTTGGAAGGGACTATACACTGTCGCCCTATGGCTGTTAAGGTTGACAGCATCCAGACCTGGCTACACCACTCCCAGCTCCTGCACCAGGAAACAGCCTTGATCCCGGCAGCCAGAGGCCTCACCGGTGAGATCCCTAGCCTGGGCTCCACGCAGGCCAGGAGGAGGCTCGACGCCCGCAGGAGGGGAACTGGGCTTCAGTGAGGACAGTACTGATGGGAACTGTGGCACTAGGGGCCTTGGTAACTGTAAGAACATTTATACTAACCAGTGAGAAACTCCAGGGCCAAGTGGGGCTAGATGTGCTAGGAGACAGGAGAGCAAGAACAGAATAGAGAATGCCCTTAAAGGAAGTGAGGTGAGTAAATAGAAAACTAAATGTGCCAAGCAGGCAGTTTAGAAAAATTAATTCGATCAAACTACTTGTAGTTAGGGGGCAGTACAATCCCCTAACTAATGAAGATGAGCCCATGATTCGACTCATATACATAAAACCAGTGGGGAATGAAGTATGGTAGCAGTCATCTCAGGTAGAAACTATAGTTTAACTTTAACCCTGCTGTTTGGTTTCTGTACTTATTTGCTTGATAAAATAATGGAAAAGTTATTTTAATTTTCTGAATTATATAAATCACCCCATTCGATTAAATACTTTATTGATTGTAATGTGAATATCTGCTGGGGTCCAACCCCAGCAGGTCCAGGGGTCCCCAACGATGTG